TATGATTCTAACATCATGAATGTATTCAGGTATTAACTTTGGTTCATTTGTGACTGTTGTTTGAATGCATGCTGGGAAGAAGGCTGAAATGCTGATACACAGTTATGCTACCCATGACCTTGCTTGTTCTGGCCAGCTACAACTGCACATGTTTCTAATGTGAGTTAACATGCCTGGAAACAACCACACACACCCCAGGTCTTAACCCAATGGGAAATAGGTGATAAAATTTGACAATGTTTGATGGAACCAATAATTCTGTTTTATTTCTCTGATGTAATGTGAAGTATAAAATGCTATTTCACCCATTGTAACACTTGAAGAATCTGTTGGGTATTCAAGGTTCCAAAACCTTTGAATCTGTATTCTTCCTTATTAATTAATAATTTTTTTGGTTTCCAATTCTACAGGACTGCTTTTGTGTGTTTTCTCAAATTGGCCTGGGCAAACACCATCAGGGACAGAGGTTCTGTCTTACAAGGTTCCATTGTTCAGCACCACCTCCTGAATTCCCTTTTGGGGTCTTCAGGTGGTGGTCAAGAGACATCTCTCTCATAATTGTGTACACTGCCATTTCTGGTGAATGCTCTGACCTTTTTATATTATGGTAAGGTTCAAATAAATAGTTTGTACTGCAGGCTTATGTCCTCGTCTCCTTCCTACCAAGACTTGGGTCGAATCTGCATTTGCATTTTTAAATCAGTTTCGTGCTGCAGTGACGCCGTCTTTCTCTATGCTTGTTTGAAGAGTTGTTTGGAGAAGATTCACCTAAAGCGGTGTGGAGGCGCAATGACAGTGGAGCCGCCACGAGAGGGCGATAAACATACGAAGACATGCAAAAATATGCTAGCACTGTTTTTTTAACTCTTTTTATTTACGTTTTTACAATATCGTCACATCATTTAACACTTATTATATAACATGTAACATTTTTCCATTAACATTAACATTTTTTGCCATAACATTTGATTCATAATTCGTAATATTTCAATAAGGTTAAACAATGAGCTTACGCATCTATTCTTTCTATTTTCTTTCCTACTAGCTCGTCTATTCCACATTCGCATTTATTTTCTTTATATTTAGCCATTTGTAAATTTCTGTCCATTTCGCCCAATATTCTTCTTCTGTTTTCTGTTTTAATTCCATGTTTACTCTGTCCATTTCAGCTATTTCTAGTGTCTTAAAAAATATGCTAGCACTGTTGAAGTGTGAAAATGGAAGCAAATGTAGACAGCTTTTTTGAAGACGGAGTCAGAAGGCTGGGACACCGGTGGGAAAGACAAATGCAGATTTGACCTTGGTGTCCTGCTAGAATCCGATCCAGTCCAGTGAACCTAAGTGAAGCTGGTATAGCAGTTGGAAGCCTGGTGACCAAGTAAATTACTTTTTCCCCTGCAACACACAATTTTTTGATTTCCCCCGTCATTTAATTTTTTAAATTTAACGATGCAAGACTAGCAATAGTCTCATATCCCTAGACTCATACCACTTGTAAAAAAGGGGGGGATTTATAAATGGAGCTTGTATGAAGGGGAGAGAATGGCGGAAGGTGCAGAGTAGGCGGAATGACCTCGATGTGGGTGGGGGAATGGGCTTCAAGGGGTGGCAAAAAGGTGGGGGGAAATCCGAGGGAATCTGTACGCTTTTGAATTACCTTCAGCTTGGAATCAAAACAAGGAAACATTCAGCACAAAAGTGCTCTCAGAAAAACCGGGGAAACAGTGACTAGAAAGCGAACTGAGAGCTCAAGGAGGAAAATCAATGCAGAACAAAAAAGAAAACCTGATGAACATGCACGGTGAAAATGGGGGAAAGAACCCATGTGTCATAACCTTAAGACTGGAACAAAGCTCCCTCTCTGCTTTCCTTCAACTTAGAGCAACCTGACAGTGGCTCTGCCCATTTCTGAAAGGCTTGGCAAGCGCCACATTGGGGAACCCCAAGTTAGACCCTCAGGGGACGGGTCTAATAATCCAACCACTATAGGGTTGTCAAGTCTTACCTGCTGCTGGCGCGGGGAACTCCCGGCTCGTTCCTGGAGTGCGCGCGCGCCGTGACCACATCACCCAGAAGTGATGCGACCACGCCGGGCATGCTGGGGGCGGGGCCATAGAGTTTCCCCTCGGATGACTGTGACCCCACCCCCAGCGTGCCCGCCGTGGTCGCGTCACTTTCGGGTGACGTGCACGTCGCATGCTTTGGGGGTGGGGTTCCCCCTGAGGCCCGATCCACCAGCGGCTGGGAATGGGCCTCTGGGGCAGGGGTTTCCCCGCCCCCCAGGGGGACTTGGCAAGCCTAAACCACTACTTTACACTGGTTCCTCTGTGTCAAATCTAGTCAGAGTTATTCAGTGGATAGAATTGAAGGTGCCATCTGCTCTTTTTGAAGGAAGGCCGGGATACTAACAGATTAACTGCACCTTGAGAGGAGAATAACAGCAAGCCGAGTTTTTGTTTCACGTCACTGACATGTATTTTAGAATGAGCTGTAAGCATTTCAAAAAGCTCCCACTTGACTTCATTTTCTTCAGTGCAGGCAGAATCAACCAGCCATCCAGGGAGGTTTGGTGAGTATCTGAACATGAGAATGTACCGTGATCAAGACAGACGGGACCTGCAAGGCTCCCTCCCCCCCCATAAAGCCTCTAGATTGAAAGCTAATTCCAGGGAGGTATCCCTTCAGCAGAAAAGGCTAACTTCAAAGCAAAAGGCCCTTCAAAGACTAACAAAATGTATTTCTAGAATAAGTGTTGTTAGTGTTTAAGTTGCCTCTGGATTCCTGTTTCAGGCTGTATCCGCACACCACAGGATAATTGTGCTATCATTATGCTACAGCAGTCAGTGGTAACTGGGTGTTCCCTGTGTGGACACTGTCATGAACTCCCTTCACGGGACCAGTCGGTTGAGCAAAATGGAGGTATGATGCTGCTCTAACCTCAGAACTTCCAAGAGAGAGACCCCAATGGGGTCTTCTCTATTTATTGGGAAGAAACTCCTGGGTCAGTGTTACCTCACAGCTGATACCCAGTCCTTGTTTCTTTCTAATCGTTTCCTCCCTGGCTGAGCGCATCTCTCCTCTTTATTCACAATCAACCCCTTTCCCCGCTTAAAGTAACAGGAGTCTTGTGCTAAGACGCTCAACTTCCCATCTATCCATTCCAGCGCGCTTTCTTCCTCCTCGCTGTCTTGCTGACATGGGACGATCTTGCAGGGGTCTCCGTTGTTCAAGCTCTCCCATTTCCCTCTCGTTTGGGCTCTTGCTCTTCCTTTCACCCTGGTTCTTGTATGGATTTGCCCTCTGGGCGCCACTTTCCCTTCTGACTGATGGGGTCCTGTCAGAGGTATCTGACAGACACCTAAAGCCGCCTTATTTTGAGTCAGACCCCTTGGTCTGCGGAGGTCAGCACTCCCAACTCTGACTAGCAGCAGCTCTCCAGGGTCTCAGATTAGAGGTCTTTCACATCACCTACTTTCTGATGCTTTTAACTAGAGATGCTGGGGACTGAACCAGGGACCTTCTGCATACCAACCAGATGCTCTACCACTGAGCCACGTCCCTTCCTCGAAGACAATCCGATTACAAAGTATTGCTATAGCGCAATGGTAGCCCAACAGCCAATCATCTGTTGATGCAACATCAGACTGAAAGCTTGTCCTTGTTCTCTGTCCCCCACATCTAGTCACCTAGAAAACCCGTGTTTTGATTATGTTTCTCCCTTGCATGAGTTGAACCCGTGACCCTGTATTTTCACATTGTTTTCTTTCCCTTCCCTTCAGGAGTTTCCCTTTAAATGTTATTAATGATTAAACTAACAGGAACATGGAGAGCATCAAAAGAAAGGCCGTAGGCAAGACCTAATGACAAAGCATTAGGATCAAATGTGACTGTTAATAAAGATTAGTATATCAAAACAAGTGCCACATCCAATATAAAGAAACCCAACAAAGACCCCCAAAACAGGGTCCAGTCAGCATTTCTAGTGGAAAAAAAAAGGAGTCAAGGGTCTCTTTGACCAGCAAGAAGGCTGTGCTGGGAATCAGAGGGACCATCCTGGAGAAAAGCCATGTGGGACCGGGGCTGCGGTAAGGAGGAGTATTGAGCAAGAGTGAATGGCTGGATCCCACCCACATCACCTCCATACATACATTAAGGGGAGGTTAACAAGGCTCCTAAACAGGCCTGAGCGTCAGTGATTCTCTGTTTTGAAATGAAGCGTAGCCCTGTCTTCCTTAATGTTATCCTGAGACCAAATAACTTTTGGCACTCCTAAACTTGTAGCTTGAAGACTCTTGAGAGTCTCTTGGACTGCTAGAAGATCAAATCAGTCAATCCTAAAAGAAATCAACCCGGACTGTTCCCTGAAAGGCCAGATAATGAAACTGAAGCTCAAATCCTTTGGCCACCAAATGAGAAGGGAGCACTCACTGGAGAAGACCCTGATGCTGGGAAAGACTGAAGGTCAAAGAAGACGGGGACGGCAAAGGATGAGATGGTTAGACAGTGTCATCGATGCAACCAACATGAAGTTGAGCAAACTTCAGAGGACGGTGGAAGACCGGAAGGCCTGGCATGATCTGGTCCATGGGGTCGCGAAGAGTCGGACTCGACTGTGCGACTGAACAACAACAAACTTGTAGCATAAGGCAGGAGTCCCCAGTGTGGTGCCTGTGGGCACTAAGGCACATGCGACACCTTTCCTAGTGCCTGCAAAGTGTCTTTAGAAAGTGGGCGGGACCTGGTGGGGCTTTTGCCTTCTTATTGGATGTAGGAGCTGCATAGATTTTTTAAAATACTGCTTTGGCAGCAGCTACCACCACAGCAGAAGGATCTTCACAGTATGACTAAAGGTAAGCAATTTTGAAGCTGGCTCCACCACCTGCGGCAGCCATTTTGTGGCTGCGCCCATCCAGGGCTCCCAAGTACTTACCTTAATTCGGTGGAGGATGTATAGTTCTTCGTGGGACCATTCCCGCGGGGAAAACACAGGCGCTGCACTATTCCGTCGGCCAGACGTGACGTAGGCACGTAGCCGGGCGACGATCTAGCAACGGGGCTGGAAACTCGATGGTAGCATCAAGTTTCCAGTCCCATTACCAGAGCGTCGCCCAGCTACGTGCCTACGTCACGTCTGGGCGATGGAATAGTGCAGCACCTGTGTTACAAGCAAGAATCTTCCGGTGGGGATGCATGTGTTCCCCGCTGGTTCGTAGGTAGGTACTTGGGAACCCTACGCCCATCATGCTGTGTCAGAATTCGAAGAGCCCACAGGCTCAAAAAGGTTGAGGGCCCCTGGCATTAGGTAACACTCCATGTCACTGCTGAATGCCACTGCTGTAACTGGCCTGGTTGCTTTCATCACAGCCCCCAGGCTTAAAATTCCCCCAAAGGACTGGCCCTGCCCCTTACCTTTCCTCATGAAAGGCGAGATGGTATGGTCCATGACAAAAGAAGGAGCAGTGGTATAATTAACCATTGGGTTGGTTTTCATGTTCTCAAACGCCGTGTGCTGTACAATCTGGTTGAGAACTGCTTCCGAGAGTTCCATGCCCAGGAACTGGGCCACTTTCTGGATCTCCCCGGCTGGATCCTGGTGAGGGAGAGAGACAAAATGGTTGATGGGGAGGCTTAGTAGTAGTAGAATTTATTACGGTCGCTAGACCAGCCACATATATATAGTTATAATAGTAGTTTTTGGAAGCATACAGAGTACAAAATATACAAAAATAAAAGATTTGAATTTAAAACCTCTTTAAAATATAGTTTCTGTAACCTTTGGATCAGTGCACAAAATCTAGCCACTTATCTTAGCGTTCTTATCAAAGACAGTCAAGCTTGGCTTTGTTTGTGCAACCAAGAATCTTATCTAGCAATGGAGTAATTATCTCCAAACGAGCCTCCTTATAATATGGGCAACTAAAGCACATAATCTGTCAAGGTAGGGGATTTTCTTATACCTGCCTTCAAGCACTGCAGAGGGGAGTGCAGAACTCCTTGCCAAGGTGAACGCCCTTCTAAAACTGTTTATTTCCAAAGAAGCCAGGTAAGCTCCCGGCACAACAGCATATTTAACATTTGACAGTGCACTAGAAATGTCAGTCTGACGTTCTATGTCTTCAATTCTCTGCTTAGTTAGCCTTTTTGCTTGTTCAATTCTGTAAGATAAGAGTACCTCAGGAGAGAATCCAATGCTGTTGATGTGTCTTTGAACAGCATTGAGCCAATTTGATTGATAATTATCATGAAGTATCAAAGGAAACAGCCCTTGGGGGTTAAGAGGACCTTTTAACCACATATAGACGGATAGGATATGCACCCTGGCTTCAACCCTTGAAATACCTGTCTCAAGTCTTATCCAAGCATTGGATACACATCTAGGGACTTGGATGGGGAGGCTTGTGGCCAGTGTTCCCTCTAAGCTGAGTTAGTGTGAGCTAGCTTTCAGTTTTTTAGCCTCTGGCTCACACATTTTTGTCTCAACTCAGGAAGGATGGCTCCAGAGCAAACTAATTTATGCAGTAGCCAAAGCACTCGCTCACAACTTTAATGCCAGTAGCTCACAAAGTAGAATTTTTGCTCACAAGACTCCACAGCTTAGAGGGAATATTGCTTGTGGCTGTCTCTGCCTGGGAGGATGCCAAACCAAGAGTTTGATTAGGACACTGCTGTGAGAAATCCCCAGCATCAGTCAAATTCCCCGGAGCATTTCTAACCTCTGTTCATTTGTAGCTGAAAGAACTACCTCAACCCGCTCACCTCTTTCATGTCCTCATAAAAGAGGTATAGAATCGGGTGTCGGTCTTTGGCTTCCCACCAGCCCCGAACATGGTCAAACCAAGAGCCATAGGCAACTGCAAAGGGAACAAGAAGTAGAGAGAGAATTGTGGCATAGTGATTTCCACCACGTCATCCCTCGGCAGCCCGCATGTTTTTTAGGGTTGGAAAGAAAATATTGAAGAGCTATGTAGGTTCTCAGATTTTCACCTATTCCCTAATCCTCAAATGTTCCGTTAGGCAATAGGACCTTCCCTACTGCCATGGACAAAACACCTGATGAAACCAGGGGTCATTTCGTAGAAAAAGAGCTAGGGTAACTCATTAGCATAACTCATTAGCATATGCCACACCCCCTGACATCATAAGGCCCGGCGGTGGACTTGCAAGGCCGGCGGGAGTGCGAGGAAGCCCCACCAAGGCCCTCCCTGGCCCCAGGCAGGCAGGGGTGGGGAGAGGCGGGGAGGAAGCAACTTACCCTCCCTCTTCTCCTGCCTCTTCCTGGCTGAATGAGGGCCGGAAGTGGGGCGGCCGGAAGCAAGGGGCGGGGCTCCGTCGTGTGCCCCCCACACCTTACCCGGGGGAAGTGTGATCCCCCGCGATCCCCCCCGAAATGACCTCTGGATGAAACCCTTTACTCCTCTTTTCCAGCTCTAGTCCCCACTCACGTTTTGTAGCTAGGAAATCCTCCACAAACTGGTCCCAGTTTCCAGGCTCTGGCATCCCCTGGTTCATGCGATGAAAGTGGAAATAGGAGACCGCATTGTCCTTGGCATTCCTGGCCACATAAATGACCTTTGGAGACAGGATGGAGAAGAGAGAACCCACCAGATTGAGCGCCAAGGGCCTCCTCCTCCCCCAGCTCCAATTCCTCACCAGACTTTAAGTCACTTGAGAAAAGTGAACTCGAACATGGTCTGGAAGCCAGAAACATTCCAGTCCACCGTGTTACTGAGATGAAGGAAGGCCAGAAGTTGTGATGAATCAGGGAAAGGCCTTCTCCTGATGTTTGGAGGCAGTCGCTTAACTATCAATACATCTACCTGACAGCACAATGTGCACATTGCAATCGGATCCCATATCTGAGCCCTGGGTCCACCCTGAACTAGGGTTCCTGGGTCCCTCCTGGCCGTCAGCAAGGGATGGGGAGTGTAGGGTTGCTAGATCCAGGTGAGGAAACTCCTGGAGATTTGGGGATTGAGCCTGGGGAGGACAAGGACCTTAGTGGGGTACAATGCCATAGAGTCCATCCTCCAAAGCATCCGTTTTCTCCAGAGGAACTGCTGTCTGTAGTCTGGAGATGAGCTATAATCTTGGGGTGTCCCCTAGAAGCTGGCATTCCTACAAATCTGAAGGTGTTCATAGGCATTTACTCCCTTTGCTTCTCATAGTACTAGCTCGAGAGGTCCCAGAGAAACAAAGAGGTCCCAGAGAAGCCCTCTGTTGTACTGACCTTGCAGTTCTGTTCCCAAATGGAAGGGGGCATGAGCTGAACCGGTAGGTGAAATTTGAGAGTGCGCGGAGAGGGCATTCTTTTCACCTCTTCTAAGTCTGAAATGTAAAAGGCAACATAGAGCCCCGTACCAAGAAACCCTTCGCCCTCCCCTCCCCTCTCTGCACTGTGACTTAGGACTAGAGAGTTGTCAACTCCTGAATAGGGAAATGTCGAGCCTGTCTTGCAGCCACCCCCCAGGGCTGTTTCTCCCACTTTCCCAGGTGAGAAGGAGGAGGAAGGCTGCCCTGAATAGTCTGGGACAATCGGCAACCCTAGACATAAAATTAGTGGAGGTGTGGGGGTGGCCCTGGGAAGGATGGGTCTTGGAGATGAACGAGGAGGGACCTCAATGGGGCATAATGCCATAGAGGCCCCCCCCTCCAAAGCAGCCCTTTTCTTCAGGGGAACTGATGTCAATTACAAGTGAAGAATCCCTTGTAATTTTGGGAGATCTCCAGGTCCCACTTGGAGTTCAGCAGCCTTTCTTGGGACCCCCTTATTTACCTGAAGGGAAAGGTTCTGGAAGAATTAATTCTATGAAGGGCATCCGTATGTAGATGGGGGCCCGATCGCATTTCTCTGGATCTCCTCTGTGCTGGATCATGTCCACAATTTCCTGGATCCAGGTGGTCCCTGAAGGGCAAAAGCGGGGTAGGGGAAAGCGCAGCCATCTCACAATTCTGCCTGTTGCCTTTAACATTACAGACCCATAGACCCCTGTTGCTGTCTTTCCAGACCTCCACATAATATCCAGTACCCCACATACCTGCTTTGGGGTATGTGCAGATGATGAGATCATCTGGCCGGGCTTGGAAGCTCCATATGTCGTCCCACTTGTCTGCAGTATCTTTGATCAAAGGGACTCCCTGAACATCTGCTATCTGAGGACGTTTGATAAACAAGGATTCCAAGCCTTTCAGTTTTGATTCGCGCTCCATCTCCTGACAGGGCCGCAGAAGCAGTGATATGAGATTTTATACACTCACTCTGGTCCCGTTGGCCGTGAGGTATAAAAGCAGAGGCCTACCTATGCGATCCTCTCTTCTAGATTCGGCGTTCTTTAACTCGCTTCTTTCTCTCACGCTTTATAAGTTTTCTGTGGAGCCTGAGAAATGGGATGGGCCTGTGAACCAGACTGAGTCCAGGGGCTTGCATTTCTGGATATATGTTTCTTGCATGCTGACGCTGGGCATTCTGCCAGGATCTGGCTCTTAGGTAATGATATGGATTTCACAATAAAGTGAGCCTATGTGGGGGTCTGTATGCGTGTATGTGAAGATGTCATGTGATGGCTGCTGCGCTGCCAGAATAGCTCGCTACATTCTCACGTGTTTTAAATACCTTAACGGTTGTTCCTTGTAGTGAACCGAGATAACTCAGTCGATACCCTTGCTTTTGGTGTAGTGGTTAAGTGCGTGGACTCTAATCTGGGAGAACCGGGTTTGATTCTCCACTCCTCCACTTGCACCTGCTGATGTGACCTTGGGTCAGTCAGAAGCTCTGGCACAGCTGTCCTTGAAAAAAGAGCAGTTTGTGTCAGAGCTCTCTCAGCCCCACCCACCTCACAGGGTGTCTGTTGTGGGGAGGGGAAGGGAAAGGAGTTTGTAAGCCGCTCTGAGACTCCAAGTGAAGGGCAGGGTATAAATCCAATATCCTCCTCCTTCTCCTCCTCTTCTTCTTCTTCTGGCCTCACCTGATGCCACAGTAATCTTCAATGGGTCATATAAGAGGGAAAAAACCCATGGCTTGTTTACCACTGGAACAGAAAACTTCGGGAGCCAGTGCAGCCCACGGACTACAGGAACAGGCTGGCAATCAGTCATCACCTCTGCCACAGACCTTTCCTGTGGTCAGGGCAGGTTAATTTATGACCAGTTCTGTTGCTTTGGCTGCTAGAAACCAGTGTTCCCTCTAAGCTGAGTAAGGGTGAGCTAGCTCACAGTTTTTAGCTTCCAGCTCACAGATTTCTGTCTTAGCTCAGGAAGGATGGCTCCAGAGCAAACTACTTTATGCAGTAGCCAAATTGTTCACTCACAACTTTACAAGCCATGGCTGGTTGGCTTAGGCTGAGACGGATGAAATTGAATCCGTCGAAGACGGAGGTCCTGTGCCTGAGTTGGAGCGGTCCAAGGGTAGGGATCCCGCTCCCGACCTTTGACTGGTGCCACTCATGCCAGCGCTGGAGGTTAGGAGTCTGGGAGTGCTCCTGGATGCCTCCTTAGCAATGGAAGCCCAGGTAGCAGCTACTGCCAGGTCGGCCTTTTACCACCTTCGGCTGATTAGGCAGTTGGTTCCCTTCCTTGAATGCAATGACCTGGCAATAGTGATCCATGCAATGGTCACCTCGAGATTGGATTACTGTAATGCCCTCTACATGGTGCTGCCCTTGTTGCAAATCCAGAATTTGCAGCTGGTGCAAAACGCAGCGGCCAGGTTGTTGATGGGAATCCCGATTCGGGACCACATCCAACCTGTGCTAAAGATGTTGCACTGGCTGCCTATGGTGTACCAGGTCAGTTTCAAGGTGCTGGTTTTGACCTTTAAAGCCCTTTATGGCCATGGTCCTGCATACCTAAGGGACCACCTTTCCCCATATGTTCCCCAAAGGACACTGCGATCGGGGACCCAGAACCGGCTGGGCCCCCCCAAGCTTTAAGGATGCCAGACTGGTGGCAACTAGGGCCAGGGCTTTTTCGGTAGTGGCTCCACTCTGGTGGAATGAGCTCCCGGAAGAGATTAGGGCCTGCGGGACCTTTCGCAATTCCATAGGGCCTGTAAGATGGAACTCTTCCTCCAGGTTTTTGGAGCTGCCACCACTAACACCTCTGCCGCCAACAATTAATATCTACCCTGGCAGAGCCCTGGCCCGTAGGTCCCTCAAACACAGCCTATACCAATTACCTGAGATAGCCACAGAAGGCCGAAGAGTCAATTGAGATAAAGAGGATTGTTGCTAGCACTTTATTTTGTTTGAATTTTTAATGTTGTATTTATTAATGTATGTGATTTTATTATGATTGTTTTCAGGGGTAGTTTCGTAGAAAAAGAGCTAGGGGAACTCATTAGCAGAACTCATTAGCATATGCCACACCCCCTGACATCAGGGGCCCGGCGGTGGACCTGCAAGGCCGGCGGGAGTGCGTGGAAGCCCCGCCAAGGCCCTCCCTCAGGCAGGCAGGGGTGGGGAGAGGCGGGGGGGAAGCAACTTACCCTCCCTCTTCTCCTGCCTCCTCCTGGCTGAATGAGGGCCGGAAGCGGGGCGGCCGGAAGCAGGGAGCGGGGCTTCGTCGTGTGCCCCGCCCCCCACACCTCACCCGGGGGAACTGCGATCCCCCGTGATCCCCCCCAAATCGACCTCTGATTGTTTTATGTGAATTTTATTGTTGTAAGCTGCCCTGTGACGGCCTTGGCCGGGAGGGCGGGATAAACATTTAATAATAAACAAATAAATAAATAATGCCAGTAGCTCATGAAGTAGAATTTTTGCCCACAAGAGTTCACAGCTTAGAAGGTGCATTGCTAGAAACGTTTTCAGGCTGTGGTGTTTCTGTGGGGTAACCATAGCATGAAGCTGTAACCATGTGGGCCATTCTGATGGTTTTGGCATTTCCACGCCAGTACTGTGCATTCTCTGATAACACAGTCAGCATGACTGATGATATGGTGAGTGAGTAGCTCTCGTATGGGGAACCCCTGCCATGTGGGAATGTTTCCTGTGCAGTGCCATATTAGGTATTGTGAAGGAAAGAAAGGGGGGAGTGTCATGAAATCCACAAGCCCCATTTCCTCTGGTTCCTTTTGTAGTTTTCTGCATCATAAATACCAAGGGGGCTGGGGAATACCTATAGATCAAGGATTGTTCCAGCTTCTTCCACATGCCAGGGAAAGGGCCAGTATGTTGTCGCACGTCTCGGCCTGTTGAGAGCAGGGTTCAGATTTATGCTCGGTTACAAAGCTCACTGGATAGGTACTGGCCAGTCCGACTGGAAGTAGACAATAGCTTTTTTCAAGCAGTCAAAAGTGCATTGATTGCTTGTATTCTGAAGGCAGGTTTAGGATGACCGCATGTGGGTATGCTACAAAGGGAACCATCCAGCGACCTTTCCCTGCTGTGGTTTCTAGGATGGACTCGTTCAGACTGAAGATGAAGAAACAGGACAAACTGATAAGAGATGCTGCAATGTCTGAATTGTCACATTGAATGTTCTTTTTAAAAAACACTTTATTTATTAGCAATATGGATAACTAGGAAAAAGGCCCGTTGTGGAAATAAATACAACGGACTCTAGAAAGAGGCTCTAGGCAGGTGCCCCAGCCTTGGACACTTAGTGTCAATTTGCTGTGGCGACCTTAGCAGGGTATAATGACACTGAGTCCACCATTTTCTCCAGAGGAACTGATCTCTGCTACCTAAAGAACAGTTGTAATTTTGAGTGATCTTCAGCCCTCACCTGGAGATTGGCAACGATGGTTCCCCAGAGGGAATGGTTGGTTTGGAGGGTGGAGTCTATGGCTTTGTACCTGTCCGAGGTCCCAC